TTTTTCTATCTTTTTTTCAACTACACTCACACACACACACACACACACACACACACACACACACACACACAGATATGCACTTACTGAGTGCTGAGTGTCCGAGACTCACTTGATTGTATGTACACAATGGGAGATAATATTGGCTTTTGTGTCTCCTATGAGATCGTGTACAGTATAACACTCAGAGCTTTTTGGTAATTAATACCTCAGAGTACTTTTTCTGTAACATAGAGGAGAATTCATTGCTATTATGCGCCTGATGCCTCTCATCAGTCTTTTAATAATTGTCAGACATTTATGAGCTAGTCCCCACTAGCATAGTCCCTTTGCGACAGTAGTGTATCTCTGTAGAATCAATATTTAGAGATTTGAAACAAGGATGTTGCTAGATATAAATGACACCCGGGGGTTAGCCTATTAGTGCTATATCATAATGTAAAAATATCTACACCATTTAAATCGGAATTCAATATTTTAAAGGAATGCTAACTTGGCTATTAATGCTGCCGTCAAGGTTTGGTAAAAAGACATAAGCAAAAACATACCCTTTGAAATATGTTATGAAATAATTAAACATATTGCATTATACAGTATAATAAATAAAAGAATTAGGAAAATTATTTATATAAATAAAAATGGTAAAAAAAAAAAACATCATTACAATTAGTATAAAATTCCTCTGGCAAGTCATCAGTGTCCACAGCTCTTTAGTTTGCTAGAGAAATTAAGTTTAGAGAAGAACATTTCATGAATTATTAGACTATATACTCATTATAGTTTACTTTACCTCTACCTGATTTCTTAATTAATTAATGTATGTTTAAATAAATATTTTATGTATAAAAGTTATGACAGCCACTGTCTAAATGAATATATTTAAGCAACAAATATAATTTTTTATAATTTAGAAGTTAGACTAATTTAAAAACTGCATTATGTGCAATTTATATGTTTGCATACATTAAGTTGAGTATTGATTATTATATTTAAAAACAATAGTAATTAAATTGAAGTTTTTTTTTTACCAATTGTTAATAGTATTACCTTATAGTAATGTAAAAGGGCTCCCTATAGTTTAGAGCATAAGCTGTGGTAGTTCCCTTTCATGGGAACTTCGAACTGCGTCCTCTAGGGGTCGCTATGGGGAACGCCTCGTCGTGACCCGTGTCTGAAGCATACATTGAAAAAACACCAACTCGTTGGCCGGCGACAGCCATGACGTCACTACCGGTGCGACTCCAGTATAAATCGGCGCCGGGAGCTACACATCATTCTCTTCTTCGTCTTCATTGACTGTTCTGTTTGAAGCGTGCATTTTCAAGGAAAAAGTAAGAGCTATCTATTTATTATGGCGAGCACTAGTAGAGCATTTAGAAGGTGTGTGCATCCGTGTCAGCGCTATTTGACACCAGATGACACACACGATTTATGTGTTGCGCAGTGTCTCGTTCCCTACTCAGGGAACCATGGTTACATAAGTAACCTGAGACGATTTATTTTTAATAAATTTTTGTTATAATTTAATTTATTTAAAAAGAAAGAGCAATTTGTTCAGTAAACCACTGTTTAATAACAAAAGCAACCAGGTGTGAAAAACTTAGTTGCATCTTTCCCAAAAAGACTCATGGCTGTATTAGATCAAAAGGGTGCTTCTACTAAATACTGAGCAAAGGGTCTGAATACTTAGGACCATGTGATATATACACTGTACGGTGCCAATATAACCCCCACTTTTGACTTCAAGTGGGTGCAAAGACTTTTCCCATAGGCAGACAGTTAGCAGCAGAAGTGAGAGGGAGTAGCAAAATATAGCTCAGAGAGAACGA